CACCTCCCCATGCCCCATCCAGCCCCAAACCCACCCAGGCACCAACCCGCGCCCCATCCAGCCCCAAACCCACCCGGACACCTCCCCATGCCCCATCCAGCCCCAAACCCACCCGGACACCTCGCCGTGCCCCAGACCCGCCCAGTCCACGCGTGTCCCTCAGCGCTGCCAGCGACCCCACGGCCTCCCCGGGCAGCCCGTCCGAGCACCCCGCCCCTCCCTACGAGTGGATTTTTCCCTCATATCCAGCCTGAAGCTCCCCTGGTGCAGCTGCAGGCCCTCTCCCCGGCTCCCTCGGGCAGTTACTGCGGAGAGGGGAGCGAGGCCGGCCCCCCGGAGCCTCGCTCCCCCTCCGGACACGCTCCGGCGCCTCCCGCCCGCCTCGCAGCGAGGCCCCAACCCCGCCGGGGCCCGCGAGGCGCCGCTACCTCCTCCCCGAACCACACCGCGCTGCGCGCCGCCATGGTCGCCGCGGGCAGCCCGCCGCGCGGCCCCGGAAGAGGAAGAAGGCGCCGCAGCCATGTTTATTGAGGGCACGCGCGGCGGCCATCTTGCCCCAAGGGCGGCGCGGCCTCCGCGTGGCGGCCATTTTCTCTAAGGAGGTCGGCGCAGCTTGCGGGCCTCGTTCTGCGGTGCCGCTGCCCTGTGCGCGGCGGGGAGCCCCGCGGGAGGGGAAGGGAGGCGTGAAGAGGCTTTACGGCTGAAGGACGGCGCCCACGGTGCAGCACCGGCGCGCTAGCGGCCGCATCGGGACAGGCGGCGGCCCGGGCAGCCGCCAAGGGCGAGTGGCAGCGGCAACTGTGCTGGCCGCCACCTCGGGCCGCGGCCTCCCCGGCGGCCGGCGGGCACAGCCGGGTGTTCAGCCCTCCTCCCGCTCCAGGTTGTCCAACTGGGTAATGCAGCAGTTTGCACACATGGAGCCACGAGGATTGGCGCCCTAGGGCGCTGATCCTGAGCCAGCCAAGCTGTGCAGTGCCCGGCTGGAGAGCTGGTCACTCCAGGCTGAAATCAGCACACCTGAAATCACAGCTGGGCTGAAATCACATGGCTTTTACCAGACAAATATTGCAATCTGTGCACCAGGATTCTTACTTGGCACAAATGCTACTCATTCTGAGCTACAGTACCCTCCCCAGCCTACATCATATGCATGCTGTAGGCAGGGAGGAGCATCCATCACCCCAGGCTTGGATTTTTATCCTTTTGAGGATTATAAAACTTTGCAGGCTTTCTGCAGCACTTGAATATGCTTCTAAATCAAAATATATGAATAAAAATACCTTTCTCAAACGAGAAAATGCATTCACATTACAGCTTTATAATAGCGCTCTCATGCTCCAGTGTTCTGGATGTGCCGATTTCTGGACAGAAAAAGGGGAAGGCAGCAGGGGGAAAGCAGCCCAATGACAAAAAGAAACTTGCAGGAATTGCCCAGAATCCATAGTGCAAATAAGCTGGTCCAAGAGCCCAGAGGAACCATGCAGACTTAGCACCTCCCAAGGACAGCTGCCGACCCCAAACTGTAGTCCGTTTATGTGGGATCCCATCCTGAAACATTTGACAAGTTGCACCCGAGCTGTGGGAGCGCAGTCTGCCAGAGGGCCAGGAGCAGGAAAGCGCAGCCCGGCAAATGGGAGGCAGGGGATGGTCCCACCATGGCAAAAAAAAAAGCCCCTCATTCCCTGCTGGTCTTGGACCGCTCTGGCCTGGGTAGCACCCATGAACTCACGCGTTGCACATTGCAGGAATGGGAAAATCCAACCCGGGAAGCCCATGGACATGGCATCTCGCTGCTGAGACTGAGCGTACCCGCCTGGGAGCAGCCCTGCCAGATTGCCTGGAGGGCCATGGGGACAGGATCAGCTCGTCGGAGCAGCCTCTTCAAAGGCGATTTGGCCTTCTGGTGCCATGTCAGAGTCGCAGGGAGCTGCTCTAATGAAGATAACAATGAGTCTGCAGTGCTCATTGCTGTTAATGGTAACGGGAGAAACCGGAGTGTCCCTTTTACCTGTTTACTGCGGAAGCAGAGTCAAGCTGGGGCAGGTTTGCTCAGCCGCTTGCTCCCTCCTCGCATCCCGCCCGTGCGGCATCTCCTGGGAGCAGACCGCACAAGTCCCAGGGCCCCCATGTCCAGTGGGGCAGAGAACAGCAGGGGCACCATAAATATGGTGAAATACCCCAGAATGTGCTGCGCTTTACTGCCCGTGGCCTCGTCTTCCTTGCCTGTAGCAGCCCCCCACTCTGCAGCATCCGCTAGTGAGCTGAGTGTTTGTGAATTTGTTGCCTGAAAGAAGGGTGTCAAATTTGTTACCTCACAGAAAGGTGTTAAATTTGTTACCTGATGGAAGCGTGTCGGCCAGATGGGGAGTCAGGTGCATTTTCACCCCACATGAACGTACCTTTGAGCAGAGCAACAGCACGGCCGCTGCTGCCAGCCCCTGGCACGAGGGATCGCCAAGTCCTGATGCGTGTTGGTAGGATTTTGTTCCCAAGACGGGGTGCTCGCCCAGCTGCCCGAGGGCCCTGGTTAACCCCGCAGTCCTGGGGCGCACGGAGGCGCTCCCCTGGGAGGGAGCACTCGCACGTCCCGCATGGCCGGCACTGCCGGCGCTGCCTCCTTGGGAGCCGCAGCCTCCGGGCACGCGTGGTGCCGTTCCTGAAACGCGTGGTTCCTGAAAAGGGAGAAAGCAAAAGAGAGAACAGAAGTCCTTCCAAACAGTGGCTGGGGTCCCTACATCTATGCATTCTCACTGCAGACTCCTTTCCATCCCCCTTTATTTCCTTGCAGTCTTTCCACTCATTTCCTCCCCAGCTGGTCATCCCTGTCAATTCAGCGCCCTTCCCATCATGGCATCAGCTCCTTATGGTTCTCCTCAGTGATACTCAAGAATCAGGAGCAGCTCCACAGTGAGGTGCCCTCACTGCATCCAAGGAAGACATGTTCCCAGTGTTGCCATATTTCCCGTTTTGCTCAGCCCACCGTTTTGTCTGCACCCCCCATATAGTACCATATAGAAACACGAATAAAGCGCTTCGTGAGACAACATCTCCAGGCCTGTAAGCAAAAACTGTCTGCTAAGGAAAACCCTGTCAGTGATTAATCCAGGGACCACGTAACACACAGGTACAACCACAAGCCCTGTCACAAGAGCCCCTTCAAAGCTGAAAACTCTGAATCCAGAGGAAGCGGAAAGCTGAAAACTCCAATCCAGAGAAGCCCCATCCCTGGTGCAGCGCTCCAGGCCTGCGTGCCCAGGTGTGAGCAGGGCGTCCCGCTGCTGCTGCCTCCTGCACGAGCCCTTCCCGAGGAGGACAAGCTCATTCCAGATGCCACTCACGGGGCTGGGAATTGCACAGCTCTGGGCCAGGCTGCCGGGCATCCGGGTTAGGGCAACCTATTCCTGGCTCGGGAGGCTGTGACTGCAGAGAGGGTGGTCAGGAGTGCGGCGCAGGAAGGCCTCCCGTCGGGAGGCTGTGGTGTCCCGGCGGGATGTGGAGCCGCTCTCCCGCCGGCCGTAGCCGCGTGTGCCGGCCTGCTGGTTACAGTGGGAGCGAGGTGGCCTGCCTGCCCCGCAGCACTGCTCTTGTGCCACGGAGCCACCGGTTCACTGGGCTCGGAAAAGACCTTCAAGGTGGTGGAGTCCAGCCGCAAACCCATCCCCACCCTGCCTGCCAAGCCGTGTCCCTGGGCGCCTCATCCACACGTTTCTTGAGCACTGCCAGGGATGGGGACTCCAGCACTTCCCTGGGCAGCCTGTTCAGGGCTTCACCTCTCTTCTCGTGTAGAAATTTTTCCTAATACCCAGTATGAACCTCCTCTGGCATGTCGCAGGGTGGAGTGGGAAGTCCCCTGTAGTATCAGTAGCACTAGGCGGAAGCCAGGATACTTGAACTCG